ATGCACGCGGGCTGCCAAATCCCGAGGGTGCCGATACCGGTCAATGTCTAATGCCTCTTTTGTCGTATCACTAATATACTTCAAAAGACGCGACGGGGTTCTTGTAAATTTTAAACGTTTCTCACCATAGCTGTAAAAGTCTAAATACGTTAAACTTAATAGATTGTCCGTCTTTTGTTTTCTAACTAATTCGTTTTAGGACCAGGTGTTCTCCACGGAAATTTCCAAAATTTACAAGTTTTCGGTCACTCTAGTCGAACTGGAAAAATTTCTGGTTTTATTACATCTAATACAGTAATTCGAAGAAATCAGTCCCACTGTACTCGGCTAGAGATTGGTTCGGTGAAGCTTTTGTTTAAGTAATATTCCGGCTCTTTCGGTAGGGTTTTATTTATGTCCCCAATTCCCAAATCTCTTAATTATTTAACTACTTCTTAAGTAGAAATAAGTGGAAACAAGTTACTTCGTATTCGAATATTTGTAGTATCGGGAAAAAGTGGAAAGACAAATTTTTACGACAACGAATGCATAAATTGTAAATTTAAGGAAAATAAATTCTAGAGATTTTTCTGTATCTCGCGCATCTCTATCATTTATTAAATTTAGTTGTAAATGACGCTGTCGAAGTAACGGTTAATTTTTTAACATTATACAAGAATTGTACACGTCTTTTTTTACATTCCTGTAGAGATGGGACATACGAAATCGGTATATCACCGGTTTAACATTGAAATCCGTGAGTAATATAAAATCGGAAAGTGGAACTCCTGTCAACTATACAGAAAACTATCATAAAAACTTACAGGTAAATTTTTATCGGTTGGGTTAAGTTATAAATCTACTCGTTATTCACATAATCGGCCAAATATCTAGCAGGCGGATGGCTAACAGCCCAGAACCGGTTCTGGATAGAATTGTATGCGTTATAAGTGTATCATCCACCCGAGGTCGTAGGCTTCCATCAGCTAAACCGGGTGAGGTTGGTGCTCTGTAAAGCATGTGCGCAAATCTGGCTTTTTGGAATCTGACAATACAGAGATTCCACTCTGCCACTAATATTCGAATATACAATAGCAATCTTATTTTTTTTTCACGTTTAGTATAGAAATTTGTAATAAGATACATAATGTGGTTATAATAAAATATTGTGCGATAATTTTCGTATAATTAAAATTAATATGCATTTATTTTTTAGAAAATACAAGGGAAGCGGCGCTTCCACCGCTTCTAATGACGGCACGCTACTGCGTATTCTCTCGTTTTATTTTGTACGACATTTCTGTTACACGTGCGCTACCTTGTCGATCTGTCAAAGTTTTTTGTGAAAATTAAAATTAATATAACAAGGAATATTATGAAGTTGTTTATGATGACAATAATAATAATAAATCAATTATTAATAATTAAAAATAAAGTTGTTAAAATAAATTGTTCATTCGAATTCATTATATTTTTAAACTTGTTCACATAAAGACTTTTAGAAATAATAGTTTATATTAATTAACTAATTAGTAATTATATATTTTGAACCTAAGGTTTTTAAGGTTTCATAAAAAAATATTCTTTTTGTTAAAATTTTTCTATAAAATCATGCTATATAACGTAAGATAAGGAAAAGGAGGGGATAAAAAAAAATATAACGGTTTCTTACACAGTGGTAAGTGGGGCTAGAATGGCCGAAATCGCCCTTACGTAATCTACAAGACAGGCCCCTAACAAACATTTTTATTATAATATAAATTATCATAAATTAAATTTTATGTTTATAATTAATGCGTGTAAACACTAAACATATTCAAGAAAATACGTAGATTGCTAAGCTTTTAAGGTTATCAATCTGCCTAGCAATAAGTCAAACTGATAGGGAATATTATAATTAAAACATTTTTGTCTAAGAATTTTCTGTATTGTTCTACGGCTTTATCATTTTTTAACTAATTACGTTTCATGTGCGTTATGTTATACTTTATGTTGGGGAAAAAGGGCCAAACTCAAAAAAAATTTCGACTCTACCATGTTATAAAAAATTTGCATTCTATTCAATTAAAAGAAAAAATAACACTGGTTAATTAATGTCTTTAAAGTATTACACAAAACAGAAGAAAATTTTTTAATCGTTTAATACTTCGTGTTTGTATTTAAACATATCCATTTATACAGTAAAACAGGCATGCAATAAAACAGCATTATTAAAATTAAATTAAATATGGCAATAAAAATTTTACAAAATACGATTGCAGTAAATATAGTAAATAAATACTTTTATATTTATTTTTAGAAATTGTATATTTTAAAAATCAAGTCGAAAATTTCTTTATGCCTATTGTTCCAATGTCCTATTGTTTAGTATTATAAATAAGTACAGTACAGCTATCAAAATTACCTCACTGTAATCACGTAGTATTAAAGCTACACCTTATAAAGCTTCTTTTGAATAGTGATCTTTTTAATGTCAGTGACCAGAGTTCTCGACACATTCACTTTAAACAAATCAAATTTGAAGCCAATTAAATTTACGCAAAGTGTCGTAGATGAAAAGAATGGAAAAACATTACATTCTTGACAAAGAATACAAAGAACAATATCGTAAATACTAAAATTGAAATGTGAATATCGATTTGCACTTACATTTAGGCAAAAATTCTAGTTTTAACTTTTCATATTTCTATTGTCATTAACACGAAGAAAGAAAAGATTAATGTTGCAAGATTGTAATTATATTAATATTTCTTTCTAGAAAATCTACTGCAATAAAAAGACAATTTACTTTTCAATAAGAAAAATTACATTAATAAGAACTTTATATTTAAATTTTGTTTTCTGTAAATTCAATAAATTCATTATGCCGTTCACATACACACAGATTTTGCAGAAATTTTAGTGATACAGTAAGAAATAATTATATTTGAATTAACTTTACATTATATTCTCGTTCAGATTTCACTTTTTTCCAGAGAAACTTTTGACTTCAAAAATATAAATCGACCGAAAAGTAAATATTGTTCATAAGGTTTCTGTCACAGGTTATAATTTTGTCTTCAAATTTCCTGGCATCTGTTCCTTCGTCGCTCACAAAGTAACTCAGTTCAGGTAAAAACTCGATACCGGGTTGAACATTTTCAGGGGGAAAAAAGAAAGCAAAGAAACGAATTGACCAATATTTTTCTAGATAATACTTCGTTTGCAGATTTGCTACTCCCTCTGAATTGCAAACGGTGTCAAACGAAAACTGCTCGTTGTCCAAAGAGTTAATATACGCGTGTACGTACATTGGAAAACTTTTGCCAAGCTTCACCGGAAATCGAAGAGCCGTGACGAAACAATCTTCCCTCACAAGTACTTCGCTGCTAAAATATATGTAATCTTTCATCTTTCTGTTTGCGACCATAAAAGGAACTCCACGATTTATGTACGAGAACAAGTTCCAATAATTTATTCTGCTTCTGGTTTTTGTTTCTCGACTGAAGTAACTGGGATAAAAGAAATAATTACCAGTCTTATAAGCATAGCAGATATGACTCTTTTCTACGTCGCTTAACAAGTTCATTGTATAAAGACAAAATTGCAATTCGTATTCGTTCATGGCAAGAAATCTGACTTTTCCAATAAATGGCTCCATTACCTTTCTTATTGCATTCCTTTTCGATTTTTCACTCATCGAATGGAACTTGTGTTCACCAAATTTTTTTTTAACTTCATTTATGCTCCACTGATACACGGCTCCGAGTAAACGCAACTCACTGACTGATTCATATATCGCTCGAGATAACAGTCTATCAATTGTTGCAATTTTACAGCACATAAAGGTGACTGTTGTAAATAGTCTTTCTCCTAGTTGGTCGAAAGCTAGCCAGCAATAATAAGGTATGACCAGATCACCGATCTGACGTGCAAAATCGTGGATTGCAAAGACGGTATCCAGGTTTATTTGCTGAATGATAAATGATCTGCATTTCCTTCTTAAATCAACTAACTCGTATCTTGAACTCAGATGATACAGATCGAACGCTTGCGTAATACAGGTCAATCCGGGATAGTCCATCTGTACATAACTGTTTAAAAAAATATAAACTATAATGTGTTACAAAGTATTGAAATTAAATGAAAGGTCAGTATCGTGAAAAACTTACGTAACGAATAATTTGATGATCTGGATTGGATAAGGCATAAACAGTACTTTCGAATTTTCACAATATTTAATGAGAAGTTCCAAATTCCTGTTCATGACTTTATTTAACTGAGCTTCTGGTATAATAATTTCTTCGTTTTTTTCGTTTCGGATTCGTATCTCACCCGAAGAAACCCTAAACAACAAAAAAGGTATTTATTATTACTTTCAAACAAACATGTCTGTTATAGTTGTAGTATTTCAGACAATGGTGTATGAACAATAAATGCATGACTAATATTTTAAAAAAAGATATTAAAGTTTTTGTATTAGCTTATTATCTTGATTATCGCGAAACCATCAAAATCCAAGTTTTATTTTCTAGGAGCTATCGTACCAGAAAACGCTGCATTTTTTTAAAAGAAAAGACATCTCTATTCTATGAACACAGAAGTATTTCGGGATATGCTCTTTAGTAGATTAAGGAGGGGCATAGCCTGTATTAAAATCCTGTTAATAGAATAAAGATATCCCTGCATATTTTAAAGGAGACAATTTGTATGATAGATCGGAGATAGTACTTGATTATCAATAGATATTAATAGTAATATCAAAGTGACCTTTTTTAATGTAAAGATTTTTGTGTATGTGTATGATTTTTGACGGAGTATCGACGGTCCTTTTGTTAAATAAATGTATATTCGATACTACTTCTATCAGAATTAAAAAGTGATTTTCCTGTAACCTATCGTATTCAGAATTGCTATGCGTGTAGGTTATTGTATAGCATACTGTTGTAAGTGACAATCTAATCCCAAACTGCGATTTCCTGAAATTTTCCAATATTTTGTTATACAAGCCTAAAGCTTGAAAGTAAAAACAATTATGCTAACATAATATTAATCAATCAACATCCATTGTAAAAAGTGATTAAAACAGTTCGTTAAGAGGAGGAAGCTGATGATTTTTTCTCGACCCAAAAACAACTTACGAAAGTCTAATTTTACAAAGAATGAACAATTACACGTTATTTTCAGTAACAGATGATAAAATCTTTAGGTATTCTTTTCATTAACACTATTTTCGTATGTTCTAAATAAACGGATATCGATGCCCCGTAATTAAGTAAAAATTAAATTTTCTCTTCGTGTGCATCTGACATTCACACAATGCATAATTAGAAGTTTATATTACAAACTAAAGGAAAAAGACTTTAACTGATAGGTTATCAGTTAAAAGCTTACCTAGCGTGTAGTCGCATTGCTCGTGGCTATTTAATGCCGGGTGTTATTATGTGGTGTCTCGTTGCTTACAAGGGAAAAGAGTGTCTAACCTAACACTGTCGTACCTATATATTCATTCTGAACATGATTTCTCACGCTTTGTAGACCGGTCGAATAAGTGAATTTCTCTGTAATGTTATTTAATGTGGAACATTAAATCATTAAACAAATAACTGCTTTAACACGTACTAGATCTGTTGTTTTAAATAAATACATTTTATTTTTATTGTGTTTAAAATGTCTATTAAATATGCCTCTTTAAAACAGAATTAAAAGAGAATGCTTAACGATCTTAATGTAAATAATTACCAACAAAATATATTGTAAAATTTTTAACATCAAATTAATCTTAATCAAATCTTTGTACAACATGTAATTATTTAATTCATTCGTTCATCTGCCTTAAATTAAATTAAACAAATAAATAGCACTTTTACATTTTAGAACTTAACGTCCCACCTAGTAATTAATGGAACTGAGGGATCCGCGATTTACATGTTGAGAAACACTGAACTACCCGAATTAAATCTTGTAGAAAAAANTCGCGTTTATCACGTTTCCTTGCGCGTAGCGATCCGATTTAAAAACAATTGAAGTTTTGGCTAGCGTTAATAGAGAGGTTGCGGCCGACGTTTTCATCGCGAAAACGTGAACGTCGGACGTTCAGCGCCGCCTTCGTGTGAACTTAGAAGTTTGACAATGGCGTTTGATACGTCAAGCATGATTCCACTGACGTTCCAAACGCTATTGTCAAAGTTTTAAGCTTACAGGAAAGCGGAGCTGAACGTTTGACGTTCACGTTTTCGCGATAAAAACGTCGGCTGCAACCTCTAATGATGAGATAAAGTTGGATAAAGATGGCAAAATTGAGTAATTTGAAGAATTAATTAATATTGTTTAACGTAGTTGTACGTTCTTCTCTTCTCTATACATCTGAAATGTAGAGGTTTTAGGCAGAGATTTTGGATGTAGTTTTACCTACTTTTGTGAAATCCGCGAATTTTTCGTAGTTGTCAGAAAAAAAGGGTAAATATCTTCGTTAGAAAACGGAAAGATAGAAATTTAATCGGGGGTCACGGTTGTATCGACACGTCGATGGGAAAGTTGACACTTGTTAAAACCTGCGAGTCATCGTCAACAAGAAACGATCACGTGACGCTTTTTTCACGACAATAGTAGGCCTATAAATGAGCGAAACACCAGAAACTCAGTGCGATCACTCGGAAGTTATACTTGGTAGATGTGCCATATTTGTCTCCACCAGTGGCGTGCCGTGATATTTGATGATAGGGAAGCTGTGTTTCTATAATAAGCCAACTTCCAGGAGCAATCAATCAATTCTTTCTTTAAATGTATTTTTAATAGATTATTTATCTGACGTACAGTACTTAATAAATAAACAAGTTCAATATAATTACCTCTGTTATTAGATCCAATATATTCCATATGCCCTCTAAATGCCAATTCTTGCTTTGAATTACCTCTGTTATTAGATCCAATATATTCCATATGCCCTCTAAATACCAATTCTTGCTTTGATAAAAGCATATAACATCTATTTATTTAGATATAATATATCTATTAACCGTAACTATCTCGTTACAATTTTCAATATTTATTTTATATTATTTACTAATGTTAAATTCTATTCCGCTTCGATTTCCAAATTGCTTCAAATACGAAAGAATCGACGATTTTTCGTGTCTTTTGCCAGCAAAATTGTCAAAGCCATTCTTATTCCACACACTAATTTCATTTGAAAATAGTAGACGAGCAAACAAAACAATTTTTGCATTTACAGAGTTATTTTATCATGAAAATGTCAAACAAATATTTTTTTGAAGTGTTTATATTTAACTTTGGCATTGGCCTTTCTCTTTTAATAATGTTTTCTTTTT